TACATTTATGTGACAGAATATTATGCTGTAGAGAATAAGGGAAGCTTTTGAAATATAAACATGGAGAGAAGCAAAATGAAAGACTTTCCCTATCCCAATACAATAAAAGGAATGAAACATTGACTGAATCTAGATCTGGAAAACACTAGGAACATTTAGAGGAAAAAAGGAAGGTTTATGCCCCCATGTTATGGCTTTAAAATGTCAATGGAAGAAATACAGATTTCCTATAATTGGTAGGCGGCTTCTGCCCTGTACCCCAGGGAGTGAAAAGAGTGGTAAGAAGTAAGTAGAAGGTAAAGGCAAAAATCCTGAAAAATCTTACTACTGTGCCCCAGTTTGGAGAAAAGACAGTATAGGGGGTGAGCCAGCAGCCTGGAGAAAGGCCTCATCCCCCTTGGAGGAGAAGCCCCTTACTTATATCCAAGTGTCCTACCAGAGAGTTGAAAACTGGCTAGTGCCTGGCACAGTTGTCCCCAGACAGCAGGAGAGCATGAAGGAGCAGTAGACTGGTTGCAAGCACCTTGCTCTAACCATCTCCTGCCATAAAAGATTATACTGATAAAGAAAATAAATTAGATAAATCTCCTGAAGGTATGTGTGGCAGGTAGAGGTCCACCCTGCCACTCCCCTTTTTTCCTTCCACTTCTGGCTAAGAGGGGAGTAGTGAACCCTGTGATGATTCCTTAATTAACTAAGAGATTGTGGTTAGCACTGTGATGGGAAGCAGAGGCCAGCTGTCAGCAGTCACTACTACTTATAGGCTCAATTTAGCTCTGTTTTGCTTTACTGCCTTTCCCAACCCACCCCCAATGTAAAAACTGACAAAACAGAAACCCAGCAAGTGTATCTATATTTTTAAATAACTTTATAAGCTTTGTGATTTTTTAAAAATGTATTACTTATTTATTTTTAGAGAGAGGGGAAGGGAGGGAGAAAGAGAAAGAGAGAGAAACACCAATGTGAGAAAGAAATATTGATAGTTGCCTCTCCCACATGCCCTGATTGGGGCCAAACCCACAACCCAGGCATGTGCCCTGAACAGGAATCAAAATGGTGACTTTTTGCTTTGTAGGACAATGACCAACCAATTGGGCCATGCTGGTCAGGGCTGTACCTATTTTCTTTTATTTTAGACATTAAATAGATATTTTCTAACATTGACAAGTCAGAAAATAGAGACTTAAGATATTACCAGAAAGTATAAAGGCAACCTAAAATTATAAAGCTAAAAGCTACCAGAAACACATAGATATGAAGTAAGGTAGAACAAAGCAAACATAGCACTTGTATCTTATTACTAAAAACAAAGGAAATAAAGACAGAAACATAAGATGAAAGAATTAAAACAAATCATATTTGTTATTTCAGTAAATGAATATGGAGTTTTAAAAAAGGAATTTAAAGAGAAAGACTTTCAGACTGGATCAAAAATCAAAACCCAGCTTTTGGTTGAAAACAAAAGAATATGTCAAAGTTTCTTGGGAAAGTTGAAAGATATGAACAAAGACATACTGGGTGAAGATAAGAAAATAAGCTGGGTTCATGCTATTAATATTAGAAAAAGATGAATCCAAGGTTAAGTGAGGTAATCAAGACCAACTGGGGCATTTTATGATGACAAAGGCTATGTTTGTTCCACAATATGAGATGAAAGTGAAAAAGTAGAAATAGCACAAACCATTTTAAAATCACAATACAAAGAAACTAGAAATTAGTAACCAAATTAGAAGGTAAAACCTACCACCCATCTGGGCTGGGGAGAAGTGTAAGGGGAGAGAAAGAGACAGAGAAGGAAAGGGAGTGAGGAAAAGAGTAGGGGGAGAGAGAGAGAGATCAAAACAAAATATTAAGCCAAACTTTCTCAATATCTTAAATAATAAAATACAGTTAATACACATTAAAATCTATGTTATGTGGCCAAAGCTGGGTTAAGAGGACAATACATAGTCTTAAACAAATACATTAATAAAGAAGGCAAAAGAAATAAATGAATTTAATATCAACCAGAAAAGTTAGAAAAAGAACAACAAACTATCTTAAGAAATCAGAAGGAAAAAATAGTAAAGAAATTAGTGAATGAGAAAAAAACCCAAATAAGTAAAATTGGTTAATCCAAGAGCTGGCTCTTTGGGATAGGGTCAGTTAGAATGAAATAAACTACTGAGTAGATTGGGAAGCCCCCCAAACAGAGGAACTTAAAAGATTTAGTACCTAGCAAAACTTTGTGCCATTAATTTTGAAAATCTGAATGCAATACATAATTTTCTAGGAACATAAATAATTGTACCAAAAATAAACACAATGTTAGAAATCTTAGAACAATAAGCAGGAGCAAAGCTGCAAATGTTATCAACCAGCTCCCTATGAAGAGTCCACCAGAACTATAGGGCTTCTTAGAGGAATTCTTCTAAATAGCCAAGAAATAAACAATTCTGCTTCTGTATACCATAAATGTTGTATATTTCAGAGAAGTAAAGAATGCTTATTTTTCTGTGAAAGCCACATCAAAACTGGAAAATCATTTTATAAAAACTATATACCAAGCTCATTTAAAATATGATATGTTAAATAAAATATTACTAAAGAAAAACTAACATATTTCAGGAATGTAGGACATGCTCAGTATTAAAAACTCTATTAATAAGTACTGTTCACTATGTATCTTGATTCCAAAAAAAGCATCATAAAATAATCTAAAAATGTTAATGGTATTAGCATAAAATTGACAAAATACTCTTTGAGATCCTTCCGAATCTCAACTGTATCCCTGTCTAACTCCACCCCCCACCAACTTTTTAGAAAAAAATATTTCCAAATTTTGAAACATGCACTCTATTTTGCTGATGAATCTCTCTAGTTTTATTAATCTTATCAAAGATCCAGATCAAAATGTATTCAACATTTGTTTCTCTCTATTGTTTAATTTAGTAATGTTTACTTTTATCATGAGTGATTCCATCTATCTGCTAGTTTATTTTATTTAGTTCTTTTTTATGTCCTCTTTTTTCAATCAAAAACTTATTTCATTTCTTTTATTTTTCTTAATAAAAGAATTTATAATTATGGGGTTGCCTCTGATGCTGGGTTGCCTACATCTTGTCAGTTTTGTATATTCTGTACATGACAAAAAGTGAAGTTTTAATTTCCTCTTTTCCTCAAAGTAACTTACATGGGTAATTTTTAAAATTCTAAGTATTTTGATTTTTTTATTAGCCTGATGTTATTTACCTATAGTTTGTTTTTATCAGATAATTTGACTTGTAAGATTTCTGCCATTGGAATTTACTTAGTTTTTCACTTGGCCTGATATGTTATTTATTATGCATTCTTTATATGTTTGAAAAGTTATATATTTTATATATATCTATTTATCTAACATTTATTAATATCATTCAAATCCTGATTTTCTTATATTTTGTTTTGTCAGGATGAGAATAGTTTGTGAATCTCTTGCTCAATTTAGTTTTATCAATATTTCTTATAGTTTTATATAAATTATTACTTTTAATCCTCAAATTACTTGCCTGAGCCTTGTTTTAAATTTAAGACAATACATGCAATGGCATTTCACAAAAGCTGTCAGTTAAAAAACTGCTGACTATAGCTCTTGTGGGAAAGCACTGGATGTTCGCTGAATAGCTTTCTCTTTGAAAACATGTTAAAAAGATAATGTATGCTAGTCATAAAATTAAGTTAAAGATACACTTTTATGAATTTTTGCCACCATAAAATTAAGTTTTGTCTAAGTTTGATAACAAAGAAAGGCAAGAAACTTTCTTAAATTCAGAGATTGGCCTTAATAGTTCCAAGGACTGTTAAAATCTTAAAACAAATGTTTCATACAGAAAATGACATTTGCTAGAGTGTTTCTTGTAGAGAATTTTGCTGGTTTCCTAAAGTTTTGAGCTACATTTATCATGGGAGGTTCATTTTTCATCCTGATCCAGTTATAATGAACTCAGCCAGCATGTCAACTGTATATTCTCTGGGAGTCGGGAAAAGCTCTTATAAGAATTTTCTCCTTATCTAAGTCACATCACAGAAATACCGGATGGTTACAGTGAAAACAGTTTAAGCAAAACCTGTCTTTGGCAGTTGCTTTTATTTTTCTCTGTCAATGCTTTGCTTTTCATCTTAGAGATGTTTATTAATGTTATTATCTCTTAAAGGGGTTGTACCTCCTATTGTAAAATAATGCTCTGTCCAAAGTGCTTGTGGTTATAATTCATTCTTCCTTTAAAATTAATATTACTGTTCTGTTTTCTTTACTTTTGTATTTCCAATGTTGTTTTGACCATCCACTCTTTTTTCTCTTAACACCTTTGATTCACTTTGCATTATGTTTTTCTCTTGAAAACATAGCTAGCTATATTTCTAAAATCTAGTCTAAAGGGCCTTTTTTTTTTTTAAAGATTTTATTTATTTATTTTCAGAGAGGGAAAGGAGGGAGAAAGAGAGAGAGAGAGAGAAACATCAATGTGCGGTTGCTGGGGGTCATGGCCTGCAACCCAGGCATGTACCCTGACTGGGAATCGAACCTGCGACACTTTGGTTCGCAGTCCGAGCTCAATCCACTGAGCTACACCAGCCAGGGCTAGGGCCTTTTTTTTTAATGGTGTTGGTCGAATTCTTTTATTTCTGTTATATTAGGTCTTGCTATCTTCAACAAGTTTTCTAACTTATGAAGTTAATTCTGCCATGTTTATTTTTCCTTCTTGTCATTTGCCCTGTGAATCATGCCATCTTCTTGGGGTTATTGTTCTGCTTTTTATAGATTTGTTCATCTCAGTTTATTCATTTATTCCTAAGCTCAGACAGTTCAGAGTTTCCATAATCCTGCCTTGGTAAAAGGCAGTGATCTCAGGGAAGTGGAATGCAAGTTTAATTTGGGAAATGGCTTAAAGCCAATGCTCTCAAGAAGCTCTAATTTCAGGTACTTGATACAAAGTTCAAGGCAATTCTCAAGCCGATCTGCTGATTCAATTGTTTTCCTTGACTAATCTACTTACTCAATGTCAAGTTCACCAAAGGAATTTGGGATCAGGATCACATTTAACATTCTGTGCTCTATGGGCCTGAAGGTGAATTTAACCTATAGGAAGACAGAGAGTTAGCAATGGGGTGTCGACAATCCAAACCTGAGTCGCTTTAAGGAGAAGAAGGGCAAATTGAGGATCCCAAACATTTTAATTTTTGCCTCCTTTCCCTGAGGAAGCTTATGTTTTTTGTTCCTGTCTCCACCTGTTTGAACCTGAATTACCACTTAATCAACATCTATATTTAAGAAAGAAAACAGAAGACAAGAACAGTGGACATGGAAATAGGAACTTCGAGAACAACTTGTAGGCTGGAAAATGGTGAGTTTGGTGGGTTGGATGCCAGTTGGGACTGTGGTCTGGAGGTTTTGAATGCAACTGTAGCTTGTGGTAGGTCACCTGCATGTTAGCCAAAAGAGTAGTAGAAGCAAGCCTCAGAAATCAGTTTTGATCACTGTTTGGCATTTCCCATTTTGGGTTTACAGAAAGGCCACTATCTAATTTGCATATCTTATTTTCAAATAATTACTTTTGACATGTGCATTAAAAACTATAACTAGTGATAATATTTATTTAGATACCATGTAATCTATATTGCATTTAATTACATTTAATTGCTGTCTTTGTTTATCTTCTCACTTCTGTCAAGACTTCCCTTTTCTTAAGTTTTTTCCCCAAAGTAATTTTAATTATATGAGTAATACATGAGTGCACTGCTCCTATTAAGTCCAAGTTAGCCTAAGTTTCCTCTCTTTCTCCACAGAGGCACAGAAGTAACCACTATTGTATGTATCTATCTATCCTATCTGTCTATTTACCCATCCATTTAATCAGTTTTAATGTGCAATATTAAAAAAATGACATCACATTGTACAACTTGCTTTTCCCTCCTCCCTACCTAGAACTATATCTTAGAGATTTAACCACATCTAGTGGATCTTTGAACAATGAGGGCAGTCAAAAATCCACATAGAACTTTGGACTCCCCAAAAACCTAACTACTACTAGCCTACCAATGACTGGGAGCCATACCAACAAAATAGTTGATTCACACATATTTTGTAGTCATACATATTATATACTGTATTCTTACAATAAAGTAAGCTAGAGAAAAGAGAATGTTATTAAGAAAGCCATAAGGAAAATACATTTACAATATTTATTTTTAAAAATCTGTATATAAGTGAACCCATGCAGTTCAAATCTATATTGTTTCAGGGACAATTATATCTATTTTAAACTATGGCATAAAATTCCTTAGAATAAATGCACTACAAATTTGGGACCATAGCCCAATTGATGGCTATGAGACCTGTTTCAGTTGGTGGACATTGTAAACAATGTTGCAAGGAACATCCAACTACATGCCTTCTTGTGCACTTATGCAGAGATCTTTTTAAGGGAAGAAACTAAGCAGTAAATTGCTCAATTTATTGTTGTTGTTTTATATTTCTAGGACTATACTAGCAAGTACAGTAGCCACTAGCCACATGTAACCACTGAGCACTTGAAATATGGCTAATGTGAGTGAAGAATTAAATTTTTAGCTGTACTTCATTTTTTAAATTTCAAAATGGAATCAGTACAAGACTTTTTTCTGTTAAATTTAATCTTAGTAGGATGAACAAATAATTGCACTTTAATAATTGCACTGCATAAAGTATTATCATTATATTGTAGGACACATGCTGGGCACACATAGCATATGCCTTGTCTTAAGTTGGCCATATATATGCATGTTTCTAGGGTTACATGTGAACACATCACTAATATGAGTGGTCTCAATGGACTGATTCAATTTGAATGATTTTTTTCTGTGCACTGATCTAACATTTAATGTATTTACTTAAATGTTTTATGCAAATATTATGAATTGCATGATACCTTTATAAATCACAATTGATAATTGAATCAAAATACATGTTCAATTATAATATCATTCTATTCGTTTTCTATAGGGTAACACAATTTTAAATCCAAAATGAAAACATAAAATTGATACAGAATCACACAGAGATGCAGAAGCTAGTATGATGACCAGAATAGTAAAGAGAAAAAGGAGACTGGAAGAAAAAAAATCAGATTTCATGGAGAATGTCTACAGGAATTAGGTGTGACAAAGCAAAACAAAAATTCTGTGTTTGTTGTGACACAAACATTTAAAAAATAATAAGTTAGAAATATTGAGACATTTTCAGCAAATACATAGTGAATTCGGTAAGTTTTTTCTCAACATTCAAAAAGAATTGGTGTAACTCATGAAAAGGTGTCCAATATCACTAGTCACTTGGGAAATGCAAATCAAAATCACAATGAGATACTGCTTCACATCCATTAGGATGGCTATTGTCCTCCCCACTCCATCACAAGAACAGCAACAACAAAACCCCAGAAAATAACAAGTTTTGGTGAAGAAAAATTGAAACTTTTGTACATTTCTAGTGGGAATATAAAATGGTTTAATCACTGTGAACAACAGTATGGCAATTCCTCAAAAAACTAAACATAGAAATACCATATAATCCAGTAATTCTACTTCTGGGTATATACCCAAAAGAAGTGAGAGCAGGGATTTGAACAAGTATTGGCATGCTCATATTCACAGCAGCATTATTCACAATAGCTAAATGCTGTAGGCAACTCAAATGTCCATTGCTGAATGACTGAATAAACAAAATGTGGTCTATACATACAATGGAATACTATCTAGGTTTAAAAAGGAAGGGAATTCTGACAAAGGCTACAACATGGATGAAGTTTAAAGACATTATTGTAAGTGAAATAAGCCAGTCACAAAAGAATGAATATTACATGATTCCACTTATATGAGATTCCTAGAACAGTCAGATTCATAGAGACAGAAAGTAAAGTGGTGATTGCCTGGGGTTGGGGGGCAGGGAAGGGAAAGATTGTTTAATGTGGACAGGGTTTCAGCTGCAGAAGATAAATGAAAAAGTTCTGGAGATGGGTGGGTAGTTGTAAGGGTTGCACAACAATGTGAATGTGCTTAATGCCACAGAATTGTACACTTAAAATGGTTAAAATGGTACATTTTATGTTGTTTATATTCATAATTAAAAAAACTATGGAGACCTCTGATCAAGATGGAGGCATAGGTAGACACACTTTGCCTCCTCATGAAAACACAAAAAGGAATTACAATTAAATCTCAAAATAAATAACACTCAGAACTGTCAGAAAATCAAACTGTATGAAAGTCCAACAACTAAGGATTTAAAGAAGCCACATTCATCCAGGCAGGTAGATCGGTGGAGGTGGGAAAGAGAGGTGAGGAAATGTAGATATGGGACAGATATGGAGGACAAGCATAGGCGGTCCCACATTCATGTGTGGTGGGTAAAAATTAGGAGGAATACCTTGGGAATAAGTGATCAGAGCCCCAGGTCAGACAGCATGGCCCAAGATTCCAGCATCACACTGGGAAAATAAATTTCCATAACTTCTGGCTGTAAAAACCAGTGGGGATTGGTGCAGCAGAGAAAATTTCTGGAATTTCAGAAACTTCATTTACATGGCTTGCATTATCTTAAAACTTACACAAACCCACCTCACTCTGGGATTCATTACGAGGGCAAGAGCTGGAAAGGTGCCAGTTGCATATGGGGAGTGGGTAAAGTGACTGAAATCAGGGCTAGTGCCAGGCAAAATTCCAGAAGCCAGGAATTGTCACAGTCCCCTTTCTGAGCCCTCCCCACACACAGAGCCTCAAAGCAGTGAAGTGAGTTGCCTCACCCTGGTGATTACTTAAGGCTCCGCCCCACACAATTTACAGGTACCTTTTACAGAGAGTCGAAGCAGTTCTACCTAATATACAGAAACATAGGGAGGCTGCCAAATTAAGGAGACAAGGAAATATGGCCCACATGAAAAAACAGAAAAAAAAAACCCAGAAAAAGAACTAAATGAAATGGAGATAGCCAACTTATCAGATGCAGAGTTCAAAATACTGGTGATCAGGATCATCAAAAAACTCACTGAGTAGGGCAAAAATATAAAGGAAGAAATGAAGATTTCACTAAGTGAAACATAGAAGAATAAGAATCTACAGGGAACCAACAGCGAAGGGAAGGAAACTGGGATTCAAATCAATGGTTTGGAACATAAGGAAGAAATAAACATTTAACTAGAACAGAAAGAAGAAACAAGAATTCAAAAAAAAATGAGGAGAGTTTAAGAAGATTCTGGAACATCTTCAAATATGCCAACATCCAAATCATAGGAATGCCAGAAGAAGAACAGCAACAAGTTAAAACTTATTTGAAAAAAGAAGGAAAGAAAACTTCCCTAATTTGGTGAAAGAAATGGACATACAAATTCAGAAAGCACAGAGAGTCCACAACAAGTTGGACCAAAAGATGACCACATCAACACACATCATATTCAAAATGCCCAAGGTTAAAGATAAAGAGAGAATCTTAAAAGCAGCAAGATCCCTGCCTGGTGTGGCTCAGTGGATTGAGTGCCAACCTGCGAACCAAAGAATCACTGGTTTGATTCCCAGTCAGGGCACATGCCAGGGTTGTGGGCCAGGTCCCCATTTGGAGGTGCATGATAGGCAACCACACATTAATGTTTCTCCCCCTCATTTTCTCCAAAAATAAATAAAAAAATCTTTCTTTTTAAAGCAGCAAGAGAAAAGCAGAGAGTTGCCTACAAAGGAATTCCCTTAAGACTATCAGCCAATTTCTCAAAAGAAACCCTACAGGCAAGAAGGGACTGGCAACGAGTGTTCAAAGTGATGAAAAGCAAGGACTTACAAACTAGATTGTTCTATCCAGTAAAGCCATATTTTAGAATGGGAGGACAGATAAAATGCTTCCAAGACAAGATAAAACTAAAGGAGTTCATCATCACCAAGCCTTTATTATATGAAATGTACTTTTTCTTATATATTTGGGTGCTACTGTGTTGGGTGCATATATATTTACAATGTTTATTTCTTCTTGATGGATTCTTTCCTCGAATATTAAAAAGTGACCTTCTGGGTCTTTGTATGGCCCTTGTTTTGAAGTCTATTTTGTCTGATATGAGTATTGCTACCCCAGCTGTTTTTTCCTGCCCATTTGCTTGGAATATTTTTTCCAGCCCTTGACTTTCAGTCTGTGTAGGTCTTTTGTTCTGAGATGGATGTCTTGTAGACAGCATATGTGCAGGTCATAATTTTTTATCCATTCAGCTATTCTATGTCTTTTCATTGAAGCATTTAATTCATTTACATTTAAGGTTATTATTGATAAGTACTTATTCATTGCCATTTTATTTCCTTTGTACTTGTGTTCCTCTCTCACTCTTTTTCGCCCCCTTTTCTCAAAGAAGACCCTTTAGCATCGCTTGCAAGGCTGGTTTGGAGGAGGTGTATTCTTTGAGGCTTCTTTTGTCTGGGAAACTCCTTATTTTGGCTATATTTTAATTGACAGCCTTGCTGGATAAAGTAGTCTTGGTTTCAGGCCTTTGTTTTTCATTACCTGGAATATTCCTTGCCATTCCTTTCTGGCTTAGAGCATTTCCATTGGGAAGTCAGCTGTTAGTCTTATTGGGGCTCCCTTGTATGTTACTTCCTGTTTCTCCCTTGCTGCCTTTAAGATTCTCTCTTTCTCCTTGAATTTTGCCATTTTAATTATGATGTGTCTTGAAGTGGGCCTCTTTGGGTTCCTCTTGACTGGGACTCTTTGTGTTTCCTGGATTTGTGTGACTTTTTCTCTCATCAAATTAGGGAAGTTTTCCATCACTTTTTCAAACAGGTTTTCTATCCCTTGCTCTTCTTCTTCTCTTCCTTGTAGTATCCCTATTATTCAGATATTGTTACATTTCATGTTGTCCTGCAGTTCCTTTAACACCACTTCATTCTTTCTGAGTCTTTTTTCCTTTTCTTGCTCTTTCTGGGTGTTTATTTCTATCTTGTCCTCCAGCTCACTGATTCGATCCTCTGCTTCACGGAGCCTACTTTTGATTCCTTCTATTATATTCTTCAATTCAGAAATTGTATTCTTCATTTCTTCTTGGCCATTGTTGATAGTTTCTATTTCCTTTTTCATGTTGATACAGTTTGCAGTGAGTTCATCATAGTTTCCCTGTAGTTTTTGGTAATTCTCTGTAAACTCATTGAGCTTCCTGATAACCATTGCTTTGAACTCAATATCTGATAGTTCACTTGCCTCTATTTCATTTAGCATTCTTTCTGAGGCTTATCTCCTTTCCTTTCGATTGGGGTTTGTTTCTTTGTCTTCCTATTTGTTGTCTGACTCTTCTTGTTAGCCTCTGCTAAATTGATCTGTTCTGACTCCCTGTGTTTGTGGGGTGAGCTTCTATGGTAGGAGACCTGTGAGATTCAGTGGTGCAGTCTCCTTGATCTCCTGAACTTGCTGCTCTTGAGCTGTTGTTTATTTTGGCTCTCTGGATATATCTGGGTTTTTATTGTTGTTGGGTCTTTCTTTGGTGGGTCCTTCCCTCCAGCTGGTTAACTGAGGGCCACACTGTCCACCATACTTTGTATGCTGTTGTGCAGGTTCAGACAGGTTGTGTCAAAGCTGGTTCTTCTATCTGCCCAAGGTTTTGAAGCTTCTCTCTTGCTATTGTTCAGTTATTGGTTTGGGTAATTTCTCCACTGTTTAGTTGTAATTTCAGATTGGTCCTGGGTGGAGGTTAGTGTGGCTTCCACTTACTCCTTCACCATGTTCCTTTATTATCTGTTGGTGGTTCCTTTGTTGGTGGGTTCTCTCTTCCAGCAGGTATACTGGCGTTCACAGCTCCTACTTGGTCTGGAGTCCTGGGCCCACATTTGACAGTTCCTGGGGTCCTCCAGTGTCTGTGAGCACCTTTTCTTCTTGGTTGGTGGCTGTGTGGCTCCAAGATTTAGGCACAGAGGCTGCTGATGGTAAGAACAACTTGTCCCCAATTGAGAGGGCATGGACTGGTCCAAGGCAGTCATAGGACAATGGATGTCTGGGTAGCAGTTGTGAGAGCTGGTGTGGATAAGACTGGAGTTACTCACATTGGGACACTGCAGGGTTTGCCCAGGCAGTGTCATGGGTGTGGCAGCCCGGTGGTGGACAGGAGCAGGAGTCCTTGGAGTCCGGCAACATGCACCTTTAACCTGTGGAGGACAACAGGGGTCTGATGTAGAGTAGGGTAGGGTATCTGGGTGCTGGCATGTCCACTGGGAACTTGGGATAGGAAAGAGCCCTGGCAGAAGTGCCATCAGTGGATAAGGTAGCACAAGATGATTATTTCATGACTGAGCAGAGAGAGGTGAGAAACACATGATGCCTCTCCTCCCTCCTCTGAGACTTTTCATAATACAATTTAATAAGAATGATTTTACATATTTTCTTATATGAGTCAATATACAAAATGTTTTTATTGTAATACCAGCATTATGTAAACTACCTGCAAAGTGTACAAGAAAAATTTGAATATTTTATTGATATTGATAAACTTAGAGTTACTTTTTGTTTTATCCAATACCTTTATACAATCCATGTTAATAATACTGAGCTG